TATTATTAAACCAAATATAAATTACTTCGTTATTGAACCTAATAAAAATTGAATTAAAGAATTACACAAAATATATGAATTTTAAATAGTTAATTTGATACTAATATTGAGATATTTTTATCAAAATTTTATGATATATTCAGTTTTATATTTTATTCAAAAATAATAATATCATCGTCTTTTCAAAATCACATAAGACCATATTATAACAGCTACTGAGATAAAGAATAAAATTAAATATTAAAATCAAGATGTATATCACTGCATTGCACGAGTACCCTTCTAATTTAATTAATAACATAACTATCTAATTAAGGTTCTCATTTGATTAAGTCTCTCTCTCTCTCTCTCTATATATATATATATATATATATATTTATATATATATATGTGTGTGTGTGTGTGTGTTCGTGCGTCTGAATGATCGTGTGATAAGGAGAGTTAAAGTGAGAAGCATAAGAAGAGATATTCACCCTGATTACTTTTAATCTCAAACCAACCTATGAATCGTGGTTGATACGGAGTTTGATCTGGTGCATCTCATCCTAATGTGCATCTAAGGGTGGAGATCCCTTCTTACGTTTCTCATGTTAACTTTTATTCTCACCGAAACCCAACCACACACGCGCGCGCACACACACACATATAGGTGGAGGTTCAAATGAGAACACCTCCATTTTACAAAAACACGATAACATTTCCAGTTTACAAGAACGCGGTAGCCCCATTTTACTATAATCAATCACATGTGATACCATATTTCATCATATATGATATTGAATTAGAGACGCGGACGACCTTGGTTGCCGGTCAAGTCGTCCGTGCATTAATAAGCTTCATCATGTGTATTGTCATATGTGATAAGGGTGTTTTTCATGTGATAATATAATTCATCACATGTGATATTAAATCAAAGACACAATTGACCTTTGGCACGACCTAGATTGCAGAGTTCGTTATCCGCATACCATCCCCTTACGTGTATTATCACATATGATAAAAGTGTTCTCGTGTTTTAGTAAAATCGGTGTGTTCTTGTTTGAACCTCCACACACACACACACACACACACACATAGTTCCATGGAAAGACTACAAACCATACACATCAATCTCAACCGTTCACACGTACATCTTGTCTAACGAATATCTGGTTTCATAGATATATCAATTGTTTCACAATAAAAAGCGTTGATCATAATTAATGAACTTTAATCATCTTTTATAAATATTCAAACCATAATAAATAAACCTTTATCATTTCTATAAACATTGATTACAGTTTCCTAACATTCAGAAGGTTTGCATTTGATTTGTTGTATATATACATAGAGAGAGACAAACAAAACAAAAAAAAAAAAACCCAAAAAACACTCCATTAGCCATTAGATTAATTGATCCAATGGATGTGATTAAGGAGACAGTTACGAATTTATTTTTAAATTAAAAAAAATCTCCGACTCCTTATTTTTAAATAAAAAAAAAAAACGAATATGATCAAAATAAAATGAAAAAGGACTGAATGGCTTATTCAATAAGAGGCAAGAAAATGACCAATATTCTTAACTGGTAAGTATGGGAAATGACTCTTATCTGATAACATTTATCAGCTTTAACATGCTTACTAACAATCCATTTCCATGGTCGACAATATTACACGATAAAGTAAATGAGAATGACATATTTTATCGATAAACCTTTACCTAATAAGGGTATATTTCAAATGCAACCATGTCCATTTGTACAACCAATGCAACCCATTCGATTTAGATATTTATGGAAATGACGAGAGTTCATTTATTATGATTTGAATATTTATGGATGATGATTAGAGTTTATTAATTATGATCAATACTTTATATTACGAAACAATCAAAACTTTTATGAAATCACGTATTCGTCAAATCAAATGAACGATTAAGAATTGAGTTGTACAAATGTAAAGAGTTGTATAATAACTCACTTCTACCTAAATAATGACTTTATCAAAATTTTAATATATTTTAACTAATAATCAATTATTAACCAACAATTAAATTATTAATTAACTTAATAAAACATGGCATAAAAATAGAAACAAAATCAAACTTTGTTAAGAAATTGTTTGCAATATTCATTCAGACGCTGAAGAGAATGACTGCATATCTCATTTTATCTAGGTGGGACCCAAGCTCACGACCGTTAACTTATAAAAGTCTAGATAGATTAAATCTGGGCCGTTGATACCTCCCCCTTAAACCCTATTTATAACCCTCCATCTCCACACAATGCTTCTTGCCTTACCCACCCCTCTCTGAGAGCCTCTAAGATCCGATCTACAAACCTACTCCGCCATGGCTCTCACCGTCGAGAAAACCTCCTCCGGCCGGGAATACAAAGTCAAGGACATGTCCTTGGCCGATTTCGGTCGCCTGGAACTTGAATTAGCCGAGGTTGAAATGCCCGGTCTCATGTCTTGCCGGACCGAATTCGGCCCTTCTCAACCCTTCAAGGGAGCCAGAATCACCGGTTCCCTCCACATGACCATCCAGACTGCTGTCCTCATTGAAACCCTCACCGCCTTGGGTGCCGAAGTGAGATGGTGCTCATGCAATATTTTCTCAACCCAAGACCACGCCGCCGCCGCTATTGCCCGTGATTCGGCTGCCGTGTTCGCCTGGAAGGGGGAAACCCTACAGGAGTACTGGTGGTGCACGGAGCGTGCTTTAGATTGGGGCCCCGGTGGTGGTCCTGACTTGATCGTTGATGATGGAGGTGATGCGACGCTGTTGATTCATGAAGGAGTCAAGGCTGAGGAGGAGTTTGAGAAGACCGGGAAAGTTCCCGATCCGACTTCGACCGACAACCCTGAGTTCCAGATCGTGTTGTCGATCATTAAGGAAGGGCTACAGGTCGACCCTAAGAAGTATCACAAGATGAAGGATAGGTTGGTTGGTGTGTCTGAGGAGACCACCACTGGTGTTAAGAGGCTCTACCAGATGCAGGCTAATGGTACTCTGCTTTTCCCTGCCATTAATGTCAATGACTCTGTAACCAAGAGCAAGGTATGTTCATTGTATATCATTTATAGATCTCTTCTTATATGATCTAATGCTTGTCGATTATCATATTTTTAACTTAGATCTGATTACTCGCCTCGTTAATTACAGGATTTGAACTTCAGTGTTCTACAACTGATGCTATTTTTCTTCTTCATTAAGCTGATTTTGCATTTTTTCACTAGTAGTAGGGTTTCATGTTTAGATCTGTTATTCTGCTCAGATTTTGATCCCGATCTGATAGCGGTTGTGATCTTAATCGATTGATTAACTTAAAAATTGCAACTTTCATCCCGTGGATGTTCTTTTGCCAATCTCAATTGATACATAATCGAAGTGGTCGGATATTGTTTTATCCATTTCATGGATCTGGATTTCTAGATTTCTCGATGGTAATCGGAACTGGATTTGACAGTAATTTTGTGATATGTTGGCAGTTTGACAACCTGTACGGATGCCGCCACTCACTCCCCGATGGTTTGATGAGAGCCACCGATGTTATGATTGCCGGAAAGGTCGCAGTTGTCTGTGGTTACGGAGATGTCGGAAAGGGTTGTGCTGCTGCCATGAAGCAAGCTGGAGCCCGTGTCATTGTCACAGAAATCGACCCCATCTGTGCCCTTCAGGCCACCATGGAAGGTCTCCAAGTCCGAACCTTGGAAGACGTCGTCTCAGAAGCCGATATCTTCGTCACCACCACCGGCAACAAAGACATCATCATGGTCAGCGACATGAGGAAGATGAAGAACAACGCCATCGTCTGCAACATTGGACATTTCGACAACGAAATCGACATGCTCGGACTCGAAACCTACCCTGGTGTGAAGCGCATCACCATCAAACCCCAAACTGACAGGTGGGTGTTCCCCGAAACCAACACGGGCATCATCATCTTGGCTGAGGGTCGGCTGATGAACTTGGGTTGTGCCACCGGCCACCCCAGCTTCGTGATGTCATGCTCATTCACCAACCAAGTGATTGCCCAGCTTGAGCTATGGAAGGAGAAGAGCAGTGGGAAGTACGGGAAGGAAGTGTATGTGTTGCCCAAACATCTTGATGAGAAGGTAGCTGCCCTTCATCTTGAAAAGCTTGGAGCCAAGCTGACCAAGCTGAGCAAGGATCAAGCCGACTATATCAGTGTGCCAGTCGAGGGTCCATACAAGCCAGCTCATTACAGGTACTAAGCTGTGATTTTGGGGGCAATCTGAAGAGGGTTATATGTGGTTGCTTTATGACTACAAGATACAATTTGATTATGTGTTGTTAGCTTTGGTGATTTTTATGGGGTTGTGTTGGTGGGAAAGTAAGTGAATGGTGTTTCTTTGTTGAAAGGCCATTGAATAAGGGTTTTTGAGTGTGAAAGGGTTGTGTAACACCACTTGTAGTAGGGTTTTTTTGGGGTTATTTATAGGTTTAGTCTTTTGTCACTTGAATTCATGAGGAAATCAAAGAAAAGGAGAAGACTTTTTTCTACACTTGCATTGTTTTAGAGATTTTTCTACACATTTCAATCGATTTTGGGACCGTTTGCGTAAAAGCGGACAACACCTGAGGATGTTATCGAGACAAATTTTACCCGGTTAATTCTTACTAAGTAAGAGACGGTTACAAACAATTCATTTTGATAACCATTAATGTTTACGACAAGGAAAGTGAAGGTGAGACGACATTTGGTAATTGTTCCCAAGATTATTATACAAATAAAGACCTATTTGATTAAGTTTGGGCCATTCTCAAGAGTAGTTATTTTCTTCATCGTCAATAAAATTGTCGTGTAATTTGTATTTATTTTCTTCATACTAATATGTTGGAATTAGTCAACTATTAGGAATTCTATTTGTTTTTTAATCATTGAATTTCTCCCAAAAGGGTGTGGGTGTGGTTGCATTACTTCAGCATCGGATGAGTATGCATGAAATAGGCATTCTAATTGCTTCAAGGTAAAACGTGGTAGATGGTAGACATATACACCATACGCTAACATAAACCAACATGTAAGAGTGATATTAGCAAGAGATCACCTAGTTGCCACATTGGAAGCATTTGAAGATCTAGAGGCAATTACATGGATTACTCTGTATCAATATCGATTAAATGTCTATAAAGAACCTTTATATTACTCTGTATCAATATCGATTAAATGTCTATAAAGAGCCTTTATAATGTAACAGTACTTTGAATATGTTGAAAGTAGCAAATTATAAGACTAAAAATGAAATTATGCAAAGGGTTAAAAATGAAAATATAAATGCATTGTTTTTAGCGACAATTTGTTATCTAGTATACCGGATATGAAAACTTACTTAGATTTTTGTAGGAATGGTATGGATAAAGTACACAAGTTTTTAAAGCATAACAAATATTTAAAGCATTAAAAAGAATAAAACCCTAAACTAAACACCCTTATCGCCCCTTCTTCCCAGAGAGTCCATTCACTGTCGCCCCTCTTTTTATGCACCCGCCCCGTATATCTCAGAACCTCCTCACTGTACCACTTTCCTTGCAAAGGACTGATGACTTTATTCCAAAAAACTAGGTTGAGCTTGAGCGTCTTAAATTAAGAATAGAGCCTTAAGCTTTGAATGGACAATTCTTTTTTGGGTAACTCTGGGTTTGTGGATCAGCTTAAGCGTCGACTAATTTTTTAGATAATGAGAATGATATAAAGTCATCGCAGATAAATCTCCATTACAACAAGAACTTCGATAGCGCATTGATTCAAACCTAAGGTAAGATGCACGTGTTAGAAAAAGATCAATCTTATTGTAATTGTTATGATCACCTCATCATTGAGAGAAGGTTCGTTCGGTTTGATGAAATGATATTCTTTTAATCTCGTATACAACTCTCATTTAATTCTTTTAAGCTCATAATTACTACCCCTCTCTTTTGCATTTTAAGCTCGACACACATACGATTTGAATTTGGAAGGACTTGGAATGCTTGGTATTAGGATTTGGGATGAAATTGAATTCATTTATTTATAAATAATTTGTAACAACAAATTACAAATAATTAAATTACCTTATGATTAATCGATTATTGGAAAACAAACATTTTAACATATTTTAAACATTATTATATACAAATCCCTTAAAATCCCAACCACCCCCATAGAATTTCAAAATCCTATGTTTGAGGGATTTCAAATTCGAGTGACCCTGCAAAACAAAGACGGGATTGGCGTGGATTTGAATTCCAAATCCTTTACATTCCTGCAAACCAAAAGGAGACCAGAATGTTTGTACCCGTCTATCATTTCTATTACAATGTTTACTTCCAATGACATTTTCAATAGGACCAAGATTGCCCATTGATTTACTTAGGCTACATCAAATCAACCTAACCTACGTTATATTCTCGTATGTTGGTGATTTTAGTGTCATCAATCATTTTTGACATAATTGTGATTTACTTGAGATCGATTAAAACAATGAGACAAACATACGTAAGTTAGGCAGTGCAGAGTGCACACTCACAAACATACGTAAGAGTAGCTATATGCATATTATGTCATATAACTTGATTGTAATCCACACTTTTTTTGCATTCTAGGAGACTAGCTTTGGATTAGACATGCGAATGGGGAGAGAATTGAGGTCCCCAATCTCTATCCCCGTCCCCATCTCCGTTGGAAATATGATCACATCCTCGTTTTCGTCTTCAACGAGAAACGAGAATCCCCAACGAGGGGGATTCTTTTTTCATTTCAAATTTGCAAATAAAGGTGTTATCAAGTGTCAAACAGTTGTTTACCAACATTCAAATACAAACAAAACCAAATCAAGATTACCAATAATCGAAATCATTAAATCAAACTACCAAAACATGTGATTGAAAGTCGTGTATCGATAGTGATATGACAATAAATATATAATATATCAAATATACGGGTACGGGACAGGTTGGGGGATCACGTTATTCGGCCTAGGTTTTTAACTTTCATAGATCCCCCGTCCCCATCCCCGGTTTTGCGGGAATCCCCAGTGGGGTGGGGCGGATTTACTGGGTTCCCAATTGGGGGGTCTCATTCTCATGCCTATTTTCAAAGATTAATGGTGAACATGATACCTAATAAGTAGTCTATATAATATTCAAACATTTATTATGCAATGAATCGATCAAAAGCATCAATATATTAGCCTTATTCATGTGTGAATATTTGCTTCTACTTCTACTCTAAACATCTTGTTCTCCATACCCATTTTGCCCTCAATTTTATGCCTTTCTTTATAAACATTTTCAAGCTTTCCACCTTTTCCAACTTCTTCTGATTTAGCTATCAAGATTATGTCTTTCTTTCCAAATATTTTCATGCTTTTTAACCCTTCTCTAAATGCTTCAGATTTTGCCCATCTTTCTTTGCAAATATTCTCATGGTCTTTTATAATCGGAGCTCTTACTCGAGGTCGTTTGCCATCTAGATCTACTTTTTTCTTCGGAACTATTTTCATGGCGATTTTACCATTAAGATTCATCCTTTTCTTTGAAGATAATTCCATGGTCTCCTGAAAGTTCTACCCTACTCGGCATCATCAATCAATGCAAACACCTAAAGACGAACGTAACTTGCATTTCATCATAAATCAAGAATCCAAGATACACCACACCATATGGTCATTGTCTCAACGGTATCTAGTAACCTCACCTTCTTGGAGGTCAAGGGTTCAAATCTCATAACGTGTGAGAAATGTATGCAAGTTTAATTTGATGTATAGAAAAAAGAATCCAAGATACATTCATACATCATGTTGCCATGATCACATATTGCTAGGGTTTTAAGACTCTTTGATTGGAAACAACACAAATCTTCAGAAACCCCAATTGACACCATGAATCATGTTTCATAACCACACAACAAACCATGGTTGAAACTTGCTTCTAATAACCTAAAGATCTTGATTTCAAGTGACATCCCCCACCCATCTTGGTTTTAGGGATCATAAACAACATCTAAAACACATTAATACACCTTAATCCAAACCCAAATTAACTTGCATTTGATTATAAAAAGAGACAACATAAATGCCCTCTAAGTTAAAGCAAAACCAGCATAAATCAAGAAAACATGGATAACCCCATTAAAACAAAAAGAAAGATTAAAAGCTTTACCAATTGTATCATTCAAGATTAGGTGTTTATAGCATCTCTAGCACATCTTGTGATGATTTCACAGCCTCTGTTATAAGGGTTAGCAACCCCTTTGCCCTTACAGTTGTAGTATGAAGCTCCAGGTGTACCACAGGGTACAAGATCCCTCTTTAAGGTCTCGTAACTAATGTACCTCTTCCCCATCAACAATACCCTCCTGTTGCTCTCAGAATCCATCAAATCATCTTCTGAACACTCGACAATCTTCCCACCACAAACCCTTTTCACCATTGGGTTAAATTCATCGTTTTCCAGCAAATTAGGGTTCAGAAATGAAACCCCAGTTGATATTTGGAAGTGGGTATGGAAGAAGAAGAAGAAAAATGGTAGCAAAAGGGATCTCATTTGGGGTTTGTGAGGTGTGTGTGTGTGTGTGTGTTTGCAATTGAGGCTTTTGTTAGAGTGGAAATGTGAGGAGGGTTTTGATGGCAATCAATGAGAGTGTGAAGGTCATATTCCCTCACCTACCAGGGAGAAAAAACCACCCAATATCTGGGACCCATGCCACTAAAAAAGAAATAGAGTAAATTACGTTTTTAGTCCCTGTGTTTTGTTAAAATTTACTATTTAGTCCTTATTTTTTTAAAATTACAGTTTTGTTCTTGTAGTTTATAATGTATTGTTGTTCTAGTTCATGTGGTTTATAATTCATTGTTGTTTTGTTACTTTTTTGTTTTCAATTCATTGTTGTTTTAATCCCTCATAGTTAATGGTAAATCAACTAATGTAGTTAACTACAAGGACGAAAACAACGATAAATTCCAAACCATATAGACGAAAATTGTATCTCAAAAGCACAGGGATGAAAATCATAATCTATAACAAACCATAGGGACGAAAATTGTAGTCTATAACAAACCACAGGGACGTAAAAACACATTACTAAAAAGCTAGAGTAAATTCCGGATTTGTTCCTTCTTACGTTTTTAATGGAGGATGTTGTTGTAGTGGAAGAAGGGGTGGAGGCGGACGTGGTTGCCGGTGGTGGTTGCTGCCAAAACTAGCGGTGATGACTACTAAAACATATATTATATTAAGATTATATATCAAATTAGGTAAATTAGTAATATTTTAGTTTCTCTCTCGTTCTTTTCCCATCTTGTTCCACCTATTTTGGTGGAACAAGAAAAACCTTTTTTTTTTTGTTTCATGTTGTCCCACCTCATCCCTGTCTCATATCACGTCAAACATAGGACAGTGAATTCTTGTTCTGTCCCATGCTACACCAAACGTAGAACAGTGAGTTCTATCTCGTCCTGTCCTGATCAAACGCAGCCTAACGGAGCAAAAGGGAACATTGATAGTAAGAAGGACTGATTTGAAAACAAAATTTATCATAACAATCATGTTCGTAACTTCTTCATTTTGAAAATTATAATATAATAACTTGTATACCAGAATGATCAAACACGTAATTAACTCTTTTGACATTTGATAAACATTTATTTATTTAAAAAATAATTGAAAATTGAAAATAAAATATAATGGGTCCCACATTAGTTTTGGAATGGAAAATAGGCATGAAGAAATAGAGCATTCAACTATACCATGGTTTTAGAGTGGTTCATCCTCTTCCTTCTCCACCATGGTGGGGTTTTGTTCTATCAATTTGTTCTAACTCTGTCTTGTTAATCAGTTTCCAATTAGGGATGGTGATTTGCCTCGACCCGGTTCATCCGACCTGAACGGGGACGAGAATTCCTCTTTAAAACGGGTACCGTGGCTTGGGATCCCCGATAGAATCAAACTAACATATATTCTTCATGTGGTTTGACCGATGATTGATAGATGTTTGACCGGGGACGAGATGTTAATCTTCGTACACGCCAGGGAGTCAGGGACCGGGGCCAGGGATTACAAACCCCCCCCCCCATCCCTGCCCGTTGCCATGCCTATCCCCAACTGTTCTTTTTCTAAGACTTGCTTTTAAACTAATATGATGCTTGAAAATTGTATAGTTTTAAGGATCATAGAACCGGTTTGACTTGTAATCAAACCTTCAAAGACCGGTCCAAGCTTAATTGATATTAGTCTTTGGTCCAATTACACATCTTTATAATCTTGATGCTTTTATAATAACATCAAATTTTGAGAATCACCAGATACTTTTTATATTTATTTAAGAAAATCAGCTTTATTATATCAACTCTTTACCCGTTACTTAAAAGCTGTAATCATACTTAAATTGTCGAACACTTGAAAAATAGCACATCTAAACACCCGTTCTTGAGATTTATACTTTACGAGTTGTGCTATATCATGTTATATGCCTTTTTCTAATACACAGGTAAACATGCTTTTGAGGTCTACACAAATTTTTCCGAAGGTGAGTTTATTTTATCTGAATATATGCAACATTGTATCCAAATGCTAGATACTGAGTCGACCAGTTGTTTACCAGATTTTATATTCAGTATTACATGGATAAATTCGTTTATTTAGATAAATTTGTTTGTCTGGATAAAACTGTGTTTTGGGAGCGCTTGTTTATTCCAGGGGCAAGAGAGGTATTTTTTTTTGGTTGAATCTGGATAAATGAGCTTTTTGAGTTGTACAAAGAAGCCCATATATTTTTCATTAAGCTGTAATTAAACTTCTTAAAATGTCTGTACAAATAAGCACAATCAACTATTAAGCCCATTAAATCAAAATACACAGCCCATAAATATTTGATACTGTATTTAAAGAAAATCTTATTGAAATGATGCAAAGGGAAATGAAAATTCAAAGAGTAATGATAAAATTGTTGAGAAAATGGGAGTGGGAAAGTGATGGAATCCATGGTTTATTTATATTTATGGGTTGGATTCATGTGAGACAAAACTGTTTTCGTGAGACAAATTTTTTACACTTGAACTTCACAGCAAAACGTTGTGAAGATAAAAAAAAAGTCAAACCTTCACAGCAAAAACACTGTGAATGTTACCTTCACAGCATTTTTGCTGTGAAGTTTCAAATGTAAAAAACTTGTCTCACGAAAACATTATTGTCTCACATGATACCAAGTTTGAATTTGATGTATATCTTTTAACAAGATTAATGATTTATTCGTTTCATCATTCCATAGAAAATCATTTGGAAACGTGATGGAATCCATTGTTTCTTTTTTTAATTTTAAATAATGATTGAAAATAATTAAATTGGATTATTTGACATGTATATATTTTTGTGATTTTTTTAGAAATTAAAAAAGTATTAAATTAGATCTACGATTATAAAATTTGAATTTATTTATTACATATATATGAATTAAAATTTATTTTTAAATAGAATTAAAAATAATAAATAATAAAAGTTAACAATAATATTAAAATAAAAACCTACCCTTCATTAAATTAAATGCACGTTTTTGGCCAACCAAAAATTAATGATTGTGTTGGATATCATTTCTTTCAAGTGAAGCAATTGAATTTAAGTAAATTGTATTTAAATAAAAAGATTTTATTTTATTTTATGTAATTTATTTATTTTTAAAGAATGCGTTATTATTTTGATGTAATTAAAAGAAACTAATGATATTGTTGTATCGTACATTGTTCGTTTTTTTCCAGATATCTGACTCACGATTTTAAAACAAATTTAATAAAGGAGGTGTCCAGTGCACGACGTCCTTGCTTACATACTAATATGGTTATTGGCTCTAATACCATCTTTTACATCTAGGCTAATCGTACCATATATTGTCTGCTTTGTTCACACACCTAGACTCACGTTTTAAAACGCGTCTGGTAGAGGATATATCTAGTCATTTGTAAGGCAACCTTAGTTCCCCTCCTCAACCGATGTGGGATCTTAGAATCCACCCCCCGTGAGATCCTAGCGTCCTTGCTGGTATACCAGTGGTTCCCGGCTTTGATACCATTTGTAATATCTCAGGCAATCGTACCAGATTTTGTCTGCTTAATCTACATGCATGGACTCACAGTTTTAGAACATGCCTGATAGAGAAGGTATCCAGTTAATAATCCCAACTCGCTATCACATAAGGAGAGGTCGTTTACTTAATGTTTATCTGTAGGCGTTTACCGGCAAGGAGATCACCCTCACTTACCTTATTGTGTAATATTTTTTGCCATCAAAATTGATTGTTGGTAAATGTCTTAAACCCGGTAAACGCTTACCTTGTAAGATTTTTTTTCCCTAACTTAACGGGTAAAACTCTCAGTCCTTGTTACGTTTTTTATCGCATAATATTTTCGATACTTTCTATGTTCTCGATAAAGTAACTAATATCTGTAAACACATACCTGATAAGTATTTAACAAATAAACCTTAAATTGATACAAAATTGAGCTCATTTGCGATTGGGCCTCTAATTGATAATTCTAATGGGCAATTATTGAGTGGGGAGCCCAACTCCAGTCAGTTAAATGATGATTATTTAGTGATGGCCAAAAACCGGTCCCAGACCAGTCGGCCTAATCGGTCCTAAACTTTCTCATAACCGATCATAACCGGTCTCGATCGAAAATGGTACGACAAGGTCCAGGTACTTCATAACCGGTTATGGGCCGCCGGTCCCGATCCCAACCGGGACCGACATTAAAAAATAAGATTTTTTTAAATTTTTTTTAATGATATATATTTTTAATGCATTATAAAATTTACAATTTGGTCACTCAAATACACTTTAAAAATGCGTTTTAATATAATTAAAATTACGTTGTCTTGTAAAAATACATTATAAAATTATTTAAAAATACATTTATTTATAAAATTATTCGAATTTTCAGGCCGGGCCGGTCCATAGCCGGTCCCGGTCCCGGTCCCACGAAACTACAAAAACCTCAACCGGTCCCGGTTTTCGGTCCCATAGCAGGTCCTGGGCCGGGCTGATTTGGCCATCACTATAAGACATTAGTGTCGACATTTATTGGTCACAGTTGTTATGGATGTCGGGAATCAAATGCAAGACAGATGGGTTATTCCATTGCGTCCATGGATCACAACCCTTGTGGTTTATTTCTATGTTTTTTTATTGTTTTATTGATCAATTGACTTAGATGTCGTTTGTTTTTTAAGATGTGCTGAAGTATGAAGTCTTATTTCACTTTTGATTTATAAGAGGAGGTGCTGAAGTCTAAAATCTGAATTAATAGAACTGTTTGTTTTTGTAAACTGATAAACGTCTGAATTTGTTTAGATTGTCTATTTTACCCATTAAAAATTATAATGATCAATTTATAGATAAATTTATACGATTTCACATATTTATTCATCATTATTATGAAATTTACATTTAAGTTATATAATTGAAATTCATTTAAATGAAAATACGTCATTAACGGTATTTAACACATTTATATCCTATTAAAATACATTAATTGAGAGAGATGATGATTGATTTGTTCAGGATCGATTGAGAGAGATGATGATTGATTTGTTAATGATCGATTAAGGTTAATCAATTG